TGAAATGGAAGCAAATTCTCCCGTTCATTCTTTTGTGTGTGTGGACGAGGCGGAATCCGCCTTCCTACTTGAACTACAAGGATTTGTAGAAGATATGCTATAGTACCGTGGTTATGAAAGGGGGCAAAATGCCCCTTTGGCGGCCTAATGACTTGACCTTCTAAAGCAATATAGTCAAAAGTGCCCGTCCACGGAAGGTTTAATACATTTTGCGCATCGTTAAACCATTAAATTCCGTACTGGGGAAACCAATCCTTCAACTCAGTAAGGAGTTTACACTACAGTGCATTTTTCAGACAAACAGCGCTCTTAGAGCGTTGCATCTGTAAAAATTCACTATAGTTAGCATTCTGAAATTAACAAGTTGTAAAACGAACCAAAAGCGAGAACCCTAAACCTTTTACTAAATCGGTTTAACAAGGCATATATCTCGTTAAAAAATGGGTGGTGTACACACTAAAATCGTAAAGTTCGCTCGGTACATGCGACAAGTTGAATGAAGCTTTCTTGATGCAGGTGGCACTGCATCATCCAAAACCACCTCTTGGAGAGCATTGCATATTCGTCCACCTTTGCAGAGAATGTCAGTATTAGATACAAACACTGAAATCGTACTCTCCACGCACCTTGGCAAGCACGGAATCGAACACTGGCAGATGGAGACTGAGCATCTCGAGGGGATGGTCTGCGATGCCTTTAGGTGTCGGCTCACGAAACCCTGGCACGTCTTCAGCTTCGCGTAGCCTACTGTGGCGTCCTATTCCAACACCATTATTAGTTAGAATGGTCAATTATAGCATATAAGAGTCCTACCGCACCTTACACAAGTCTTTTCAGCGCGCTGGTTGTGCTGAAATGCGACCCACTTCAAGCGGTTAGTCTCCCACAACTCTTGCGGACGTCCCTGCGAGTTTTGAGCAGCTTGATGCCCTAGTATATCTTGGCAAGCTTGGACATATTCGTGCGAGACATCTTCTTCTCTCACTTCCTGCATCGTGTCCTCAGCACGCTTCCGTACGGCGCCTTGGCCTTCATCTGTCATATTGCAAAAGGTGTGTCCATTTTTGAGCTTATTTTAGGATTTGATTCGTCGCCAAAAAAATTGATGGATGCTGTTTCTGATTGGTTAAATATTTTTGCATGGGGTTGTTTTGGGTTGTGCTTGTTAAATAAGTGGTTTTGATTTTGCTGGGGGTTATCCTCCGCGACTGCAATTCATCGGATTTTGTAGGTACAAAAACCTCCCGTGGGGTACCGTGTGCCTGCTAAGTTCACACAACACGCACGCGCTACCCCACTGGCAGCTTTGCCTGCAATTGGCAAAATGCACTGCAAATATTAATGGCCGATGTTAGAGTTACTAATAATTTAAAAAAAGGCACCATTTCATACTTTGTTTCTAATCAAAAGCAATATCACAATGAAATAGTTTATTGAATAAAATTCAAAACTTTCATCGTTCGTAGCCATTCTGTAGGTCCATGAATGTGTTTGCGCAACTTGCTGATGTCGTCCGAATGTCTATCTACTTGCATGTGCGTGCATGTTGAGGGAGAGTACAATTAACTTTGTATTTTTTTGACAGTGTATTCGATGGCGACATCCATGGTAGATTGTGTATTTCTTCATACCGGTCATCTTGATGAAGGGCATGCAATCAAGACTACAAGGTGGTGGCTTTCATGAATTAGCGATTATTATTATCTACGGTTGACATTTGTCGTGTATTTTGAGAAAGACAAAAGACTCGTATGGGCCAGAAATACAAGATCAGACCCCTCTGCTGCCAAGACACTGCACCTTTGAACGAGTACAACGTAGCAAATCGAAATACATTACATAGGTTAAGCAATTCGAGCACATGGAACAGCTGCCTGGAGCAGCGAAATATTACCAAAATTCTTATTCACTATAATAATCCGAACTTGGTCCCCCGTGGCGTCTTACGACTTGAAGGAGTCACGGCATTCGTCAAGCAATCGGACATTTCGTTTCCCATGAGTGAACGCTGGACATATTGACCTTGGGAAGTCGCACATCGTCAAACGCACACAAACCACAGAAGCCACAGGGTCACATAATACCACACACAGGTCCCGTAAAAAGTTTAAAAAACACAAACCGTCATGATTTGCGTCTAAAGTCACAAATAG